GCCCACCATACTTGACCATTTCAGCAGTAACTCTGTCTAGTCCCGCAGCCTTACCACATTTCAAACTTCGAATCGCACGTTCAGTCTCTTTCATACTGATGACCTCAGTGTCATCGAGGTCCGGGTCTGGCGTACCAGTCACGGCGTCATCCCCGGATCCCTCACTAAGATCATCACACGCATACATTTCTCTATAAAATTCGCTCCATCGCTGCATGACGTCCGATTTTTCTGAGAGGACGTCATTAGTTCTCGAAAGCACTTTGTTCATTCTTAAGGCCGTCGCACCACTTCGGGTCCTTCCAACCTCTTTCCAGAAGAGTTTGGAGTTCTCCTTAAAGTTGTGCGACAACCTTTCGTCCGCTTCCATTCTACACCTTTCACGCACTTCCTCAATCAATGCTTTCGTGTGAACTTTCTGCAGCCTATATCTTTCTTTCATCTTCTCTCTCATATCCTTATCATTGCTAGAGGCCAAGTAGTCTAACCATGCTTTCTTCTTCTTCTTTACAGCTTCTTTCACTTCATCATTCCACCATGCATCTCTTCTTTTACTACTGCCTCTTTTTATTGTTCCACACACTTCTTCCGCTGCACTTACCATTCCATCCCTAAGGTTCTGCCATGTTCTTTCTACACATTCATTTCTGCCATCGATGGTGTCAAGCTATTCATTTCAATCAAATAAATTCAAATAAATCATGGGGGTGAACAAAAAAACCTAGTCCGCCATCATTGGAAGTTCACCATATTAAATTTAGAGTGATGTCATTTTATATTTGTATTCTCTTCAACATACTCATTCATTTGATACCCATATCCTGGGAGTCCATAAAAAATAACTAGATCGGATTCTTTAGCAGCCGCCATATTGGATTCAATATGACGTCACTTGGCTAACCATGCATTGTCATTCAAACTAAACATGTATGCGAAATTTCAGCTTAATCGTTTGAGGAAATTGCTCTAAAATTCAGTCGCAAAAATTGACCCTAACAAACAAACGTTCCAAGTTAAATAAAAGCCTTTAAAAATTATTCTATTCTATTCTAATGCGTCAGCTCGATAGGGAAAGGACGACGCTTTCACAGAATACCAACGTAAAATAGCTGCTTAATGCTGATGTTTCAATAAAAAGTCAGTGAAGCAATGCATCTGAGTTTTGATTTTTAACCGAGGATAGATGTAGATATCTACGGGCCACATAATCCACTTTCTATTAGTTGGACTGTATACTCCTTTATCACATCCCCTCCAGGTCCTTTCAGGGCAAAGTATGAGCACATTGGCAGAAGTGGCGATAAATTAGTTCACCTTCCTTTGGGAACCCGTGCATTCTAGTCCCTCGCCAAGGCATTTCAAGAAAATTTCTATATGCCATCTAGTGATGGCTCGCGCACCATCTCTGCACAGGAAGGATGACTCACTGGCCCACGCCGCATAAGATAAAACTGACCTTTTAGGCTCGTTTTTTGCGTCCAACTCGACTCTTGATGACGGGGGGAACACACCGCCGACCATCCTGCAGTGTGAGTGAGTGCTCTATGCCAGATGTGCGATTCACACAGTGCTCAGTCCGCAAAGCACTCCTATCCCTAAACATCCTCAAGTCGAGTGGGCCCGACAGAATCCTGCTAATTGTGCTGAGGAGTTGGTACCGATTCAAACGCGTCTTTTCCGGTACTCCTACTTCTTAATCATGGAAGAATCCCGAATGGATGGAAGACAGCTTTCGTGCACCCGATCCCTAAAAAAGGAAACCGCTCTGATCCGTCCAACTACAGGGCTATCGCCATCATCTCCTTGTTCTCGAAAATAATCGAGTCCATTATTAATTGCCCACTCATGCGGTACCTTGAGGAGCACCAGACGAGCTGATTAGTAACCGCCAATACGGTTTCCGTCGGGGTCGCTCAGCTTGTAATCTTCTTGTTTACCTAATACATGATGGACGCAGGTGACCAAGACCAAGGGAAAGCATGGGCCGTTAGTTTGGAAATAGCGAAGGCCTTTGATCGAGTCTGGCACAAAGCGCTTTTTTTGAAGCTTCCTTCCTACGGGATTTCTCAGAAATTGTGCAATTGGATCACCAGTTTTATGGCTTTATTCGCTCGTATTATCAAGGTCGTAGTTGACGGTGCATGCTCCGATTACAAGCTTATTAACGCTGGTGATCCACAAGGCTGAGTGCTATTACCAACGCTGTTTATTCTGCATATCAATTATATGTTGCATACCGGTAACATTAATTGCTACGAGGATGACAGCAATGGTGATGCTCTAAACACCGACCGCGCCAATATTTCTCAGGAAAACGTCGCCAAGTACCGAGAAAACTTGTGTCTGAAGTCGAGTCTTTGCGGAACAAAGTGTCGAATTATGGGCGACTAAATGTAATCCAGTTTAATCTTCAAAAGACACAAGTTTGCGCGTTTATCGCTAAAAAGAACCCCTTTGTCGTATCTCCTCAGTTTCAAGGCACTGCCTTTGTTGCCTCAGCAAGTATCGGAATCCTTGGCGTCGACATACCGAGTGACGTGCAGTTTAGTGGTCACAGTTGGAAGAGAATGCCAAATTGGCTTCTAAAAAGCTTGGCGCGCTCACTTGGCGGGACAGTATTTCATACCAGCACAGCGGCTGCAACTTTACAAGGCCCAGGTTCGGCCTCACATGGAATACTGTTCCCATCTCTGGGCTGGGGCTCCCCAGTGCCAGCTCATTCCACTTGACCGCATCCAGCGCAGAGTGGCTCGAATCTTCAATGACCAAGTCCTTTCCGATCGGCTCGATTCACTAGCGCTGCGAAGAGATGTGGCATCTCTTTGCATTTTGTTTTGCGTCTACCACTGGGAGTGCTCTGAGGAATTGTTCGGATTAATCCCAACCGCCAAACTTCACCAAGGCACATCGCGGCAAAACTCCCGGTACCATCCACACCATCTTTATGCTTGGCGGTCCACCACTGTACGTTTCACTAGGAGTTTTCTTCCGCGTACGACCTCTCTGTGGAATAGCTTGCCATCGGCGATTTTTCTGGACCGATTCGACTTAGGGACCTTCAAGAAAAGAACTTACTCCTTTCTAAAAGACCGGCAACGTACCTGCAATTCCCTTGGTGTTGCAGTTGTTCATGAGCGGCGGCAGTCACTTACTATCAGGTGAGCTGTATGCCCGTTTGCCCCCTCTCCTATGAAAAAAAAAAATTTAGAAAAGCATTTGGTAGAAAAGCATCATACGTTAGATAAATACATACCTTTATGTTTTCTCTAAACAGTGTTTTACTAAGTATCATGCGCAGTCATTTTTTGTATTTTAGAAAAGAAGGAGGTAAGTCGCTTGCCTAAACGGTGAATTTACATTGCCTTTATATTCATTAATTCGTTCTTTACAGCCTATTAAAGTACGTAGGCACATAGGAGTGAATATAGGCTTCCCCGTAGATTGCCTCATAAAGAGGATATTTTCCACAACTGCCACGCCAGGTGGGTTGCCAACTGCAGTTTTCTTTTTTTAATTAGTTTGAGTTTTTATGAAGAAGATACTACACCTCCGGTTTTATTTTCCTCGTTTTCTTACGACACCCACGAGATGATATGGAGCAATGATTCTTTACGCTGCTACAAAACGGCGATATATTTGTCATAATTATTTTTCATAGTTATAGTATCTTTTTCATAAATTATTCAATATAGAATGTGAGAACTAAATAAAAATACATACATAGTTTTATTTGTTTATTTGTCTTTTGTTTCAATGCATTATATATTTAAATAAGTTTCATAACAAAAGTTTTAGAGTAGTATGTATAGACTTATACTATCTTTATGCCTGTAGTACTATCGATTTAATGTCCATGGTTATGAAGTATATAATATACGTTAATGAAATTTATGTAATAGAATACAAAATTATTAGCATATTTTAAATGTTATATCTTCAGCTAGAAATATTAAATTGAGTATTTAAATTACTGGGCCGATTTAATAATTAATAATCGTTGTTTACGTTTATTAATATTGAATTTTATGGCTATGGAATTCTATTTTATTTCCGTATTTTTTGTATTCTAATCCCCTGTTTCAGAAAGAATCGGCGCAGTAACTTTCGACTCGCAGCTTCCCATGTACATATTATTCACTAAGTATAAAAATATTAATTTCAGAATATCATCTCAACATAACGAAAAAAAAACAATTTTCGTGAAATGAATTTATAAAAATAGCCAATAAATAATATATTATCATCTCATTTGTACTCTGTCCATCAGAGCAGCTGGCTATGACCCATTAGGTTATGTATATATAGTTACTGTACTAAGCACAAAACACGAAATTATTGTATTATGTAATCAGATTTTTTTTACTAAATACAAATATTATCTATAACAATACTTTGAATACAATTAACGACATTATAGTATTTGAAATTAGTTACTATATTGCTCATATTTGTACAATGTTTTCATCGTGTATTGGTGTTCTATTTTAGAAAATATATGTATAACTACTATGCAATTACACATATTTAATATTAAATGATTTAAAAGGTTTAATACGAACCCTTACTATTTGAGGAACTATAAAATAAACAATATCAAAATCACTCTACAAAATTTACAATGCATACAAAATATTATGCCTGGCTATAGAAGCAATTATCCGCAGAACAATACAATCCCTATTAATAACAAAAACGTAGAGTTTTAGTAATGGACCTTCATATATATAGAGATATAAATACACCTTCAAATATTTAGTTAATACTTACAACAATATGAGTTTTATACACAGAGAAATTTAAAATTATAAGGTAATGTTTTAATCATCTTTATCCTCAAAAATTATTTACACATTTATATACAAAGCTATCACATAATACAAGTTTAATCGTATCAATATTTACATTATTGCATAATTTCCTAGTTCTTATATAAACATTTTGTTAACTATTATAGAACGAAGCAAAAGTTTGCATTTTAATCGTCTTTTTTAAAACCTTTGTTAAACGTACACTATATGTGGCTTCTCCGGAGTTCTATGATGAGGTATGGTTTCATAGGCAAACTGTTGGTAAATATGTTCTTCACTATCCTCCTGGTAATAAGGATTTTTATCGACGCTATGCCAAGATGGATTCAATGAATGGAAATTATTTGTAACGGATGATCCGATCATTAAATATCGATCGACATCTCTCTTGTTTTCTGCTTCTCTGCTGCGTGTCGAATAACCTAACCCATTACCAAGTTTTGTTACATCACTATTCAACATTACACTTGTCATTACCTGCTTTGACTTGTCGCCTTTGCATTTTTTCAAAGGCCCCATAAAATACAATCCTCCGCCAGCTAGACTTATAATAATACTTACAGTCATAACAACGACTGCTACAATGACCCACCCGTTTGAGCACCCGAATTCTGATTCAGGGATTGGCACGAGTAAAACACCTTTCAAATGTTCAGGAGCGGAACATTTAACATCTTCATAATCTATTTTTAGTATGGCACTATTGTTATCAGTTCTTTTCGTATTCATTTCACATTCCCTACCCAATTTCCATAACCAAAGCAAGGAGCAATTGCAAACGAAGGGATTACCTGAAATTTCTAATTCTTGTAATCTATCAATAGGAAAATGGGAAGCCTCAAGTGTTTCTAACGCATTATTTTTCATGTAAATATGCGTAAGTTTTGGATTTCCGTGAAATAATCTTGGTGGCACTTCTCTGACTTTAATATTCTCATTCATCCAAATTTTTTGCAAATTGATATTATCAACAAATGCTCTAGAATCAAATTTCTCAAGATCAAAAAGTCTACTTAAATGCAAATGTTTTAAATGGAATAAACTTTGAAATGACAATGTCGTTATATTCTGAAAAAAGTTTCCGCTTAAATATAAATGAGATAAGTTGGATAGTTTCGAAAGCGCAGATGTGGGGACAGAGGTCATATTATTATCACTAAGGTCTAAATGTCGCAATGAAGGCAAATTTTGAAATCCCAGTTGATCAATATTTTCTATTATGTTATTTTTAAGGTCTATATGTTTTAATTCCTTCAAATATGGTACTCCCTGCTTAGGTACTCGTTGAATTAGATTTTCAGATAAGTCTAAATATTCCAAGTGGACTAAATATAAAAGGTTTGTTGATGGTATGTCCAAAATAGAATTGTTTTTAAGCGACAGTATTTTTAAAGATGAAAGGGGTTCGAATGTTTCTATTTCGAAACTTACCAAGTTATTGCTTGATAAATCCAGTCTCTCTAGGGCAGATAGGTCTTTAAAACTTTTTACATGTATATTTAATATCTGGTTATGGGACAAATCCAGATCAAAAAGTTTTTTTAATCCGATGAATGTGTCTACGTCCAGGCGTTTGAGAAAATTGTGACTCAAATTCAGATGAGTCATCTCGATATTATTTTCAAAATTTTTACTACCTAAATCTGGAATTTTGTTGTGGGAAATATCTAGAACTGTCAGTTGAGTGTAAAATGGAAAGGTATAGAGCAGATTGCTGATTGAATTGTGAGTTAGATTTATATGAGTAGCTTCTGGATTGAGCTGAATAGGCACTATTTCTAAGCTGGCGTTGGCGCAGGAAGCAGCACGTAAGGCGTCGTCGCAAGCACAGCGCGCCGGACACAAAGTGCGCGCGGCAGCACCCCATGTCCATGCCACCACCACTACCCACCAACGCCACTTTGCTATGCCGTGTGAACCCATACCATCTCATGTATGCGCCACCATAGATCTGGAAAAGAAACACAAATTCAATTAATAGAATCAGGTGTTACTTTGCGGAAATCCATTATAATGGGGTTGTTATAAACTAATTTGCTTAATTCCGCGTAAAGAAAGTAAATGATGTATCCTGTTCATTTTAATGGGATCTCCCACCCTCCCTCAATCGCACGCACTATACCCGCGCCGTCAATATCAGCACTACCACCCCCAGCACCACAACACTAGGCACGACACACCACTCTCGAAAATACGATAAGTGTTTCGCCTCTACACGAGGCATCCTCAGGTGAAGTAGACTCTAGCTTATAAGAACCCCAATACAAATAGAAAAAAATTTATAATAGGTGATCTCCAAAATATAATGCTAACAATCAGATGACTAATTCTCATTGCTGTAGATGGGATCTTGTAAAATTTACTCGTAATTTATTTTAGCTATAAAAATTCCCAGCTATCACACCCTAAATTTGATCTATGATAAGGAAATGCAAAAATATACAATATTATCAACAGACAAGATCTAAATATAATTTCTGCAGAAAACTGCAGATAATAAATGCGCCCCTCCGTAAATTGTGAGGGTGCGTGAAAGGGAGTGGAATTGTTTCATTCAAATTAACCTGATAAGCAAAGCAAAATAACATCACAAATTATGACTGTGCAGTAGGACAAGAAGATTATCCTATTCTTCAATATTTCTGAAAAAAAAAAGTAAGTGGCAAAAACCTTAAACGACAAATTCGAGCTAATCATCTATAATTATAAAATATAATATCTATATTAGAATTTTTAAGTCAACATTTTCCTTTTAACAAAAATATTTTTATCCCAACCAATAACGTAGCAGCCATACCTTCACTTCTCGACAAACTCTTTAGCCTCAACCATTTAACAATGGAACCTTAAGTACTTTAAATTAAATGTTCGGCTTTACAATTCGGTGGAATGTATAATGAATAGCACCGTAACATCTGTTAACGAAGGCGAATGATCTCCAAAGTTTTCACGCGCGGGAATAACTAATTGCGAAGGTTTGGAATTCAATTTATGGCGTCTAGTACGCCTCTCGGGATATCACGCTATGCTAAAGTATTAATAATGCAAAACAGTGTCACGGAAAGTTTTTGATTCCGAATGTAAATTGAATTAGGAAGTAAAGTTTTTGTTGAGCTTGTGCGAACGTTGTGTTAAATATCGTCAAAACTTGAACAATGTATATATTACTTGGATGGATGATAGAATTAAGGTTAAAAAACGAAATTATAGGTGCACGTATTTCCAATAATATTATAATGTCGTGAGAAGCATTTCGTGTTTCCATCTAAGATGCGAGAAGTCGCGCCGCTTGTCTCCCTCGGCAATTCGATATCACCCTACACGAATGGATTACACCAGCCCGCCTGAATTACGGAAACCATACGTATACACACATTCGATACTCATTAGATATACGTGTATATAGTGGATTAATGCTGATATACTCCAATGTATTCTAGATCACGTAATTTAAAACATAGTATTATATTAAATTTAGAGTAATTCAATCTATACACAGAATTACTTCATATAAATAATACATCATCTAATGGGTGCCGATAGAGGGCTACCGAAGGAGTAGGAAAGAATTAAAAATATGTATGTAATAAAAACTTCGGTTGCCAACCCGTCTCCAACGCGTCGCAATTATGACAAAATCCCTCTGTTTAAGCAACCTATAGAGGAGACTATAGTTCAGCATAGTGCAGCAAGTGTAAGCATTGGACTTGTGGTAGGCTGTAATGAATGATGGAATGAATGAATAATATATATACAATTCAAATCACAAAATATAATTCTGAATAAGGTTTTTTGCCGGTTATTTATTATGCGACTAATAATGCATACTTATATATAATCGACACATTATTATATATACCTGGTTATAGAACAGTCGAATTAAAATTTTCTGCTTTCATATCCATACTATCCTTTAAAAGCGTTCAATGGTGAATATTATTCGATATTAAAATGTCAATTGACAAGCTCTTTAATCGTTATCATAAATTAGTCTAATGAAATTTAACTGAAGGTGGACGCAGATCGCGAATCCAATGCAAGGAGCCAAAAGAGGCACGCCCTCCATTTCCGAATCTAAACTGCTCCGGCCGGCACTCTTTTGTCTTTTAATTTCCTGTCCGCCAGAGCGCGCTTCTATCGTGAATTTCGCTTTCGTGAGCTTCGTTAACTTGTATCGGCCTTTGTTGTTGCTTATTGAACTTTTCCATTACCGAAGTCATCGATTGAAACCACTAAATTTGTTGGAAAATTTGCTTTGCCGAAATCAACATGGTCTACGGAATTGAGCAGCGCCTCTTGCATTAATTCTACTCTGCTTTTAAAATACGTTGTGATTTTCGTTTATTAAAGGAAATCAAATTTAATTTTGAAACAAAGCATCACTTTGTGTTTATTTGGAGTACGGCTATGACATATCGGCTGGTGCTGCAAAATGCCATCTAGCAGCGTTGGACTCAGTGGAGGACATGCTAAGAGGCTCATAGTAGCCTCGATTTGGTTGACACCAATCTTGTCAGCCTCGAGCACAGACGTAGAGTAGCTAGCCTCACGGTATTCCATAGGATGCATTTCGGAGAGTGTGTGCAGGAATTACATGCTTTAATTCCTTCCTCTCCTTTCCACCAGCAGACTACTGGCGGTCGGCGGGTCTTCACCTCTTCTTGTCACTATACTCCGTATCAGAACCAAATGGTTTGCTTCGTCTTTTGTAATGCATACTGCAAAGGAGTGGAACAATTTCCCGGCGTCTCTGTCTTTTTATCCGAATACAATCTGGGCATCTTAAGGCAAGAATGAATAGACTTTTGTTACGCTAAGACGGTGCGATTAACCATCTAGAGCTTCACAATTCCACCTGGTAGTAAGTGGTAATCACTTACCACCAGGATGGATTGTGGTCAAGCACTTGCTTATATCAAGTTAAAAAAAAATTAAGAAACATGGCTGCATTAGCTGACTGCAATCTTTAAGATACACTACATTAGTCCTCATGGGTGACAAAGAATCCATAGCCCTTTTCGAATATTATGAAGCAGGTAGCACTACAAATTTAAGGCATTGTAACAAATCATACATTTCTAGCATATTTACAAATTTAATATAGGATGATTATGTTTTCATATTATTTAAATATTTATTTACAATATAAAACTCAAACAACAATTACTATTTATTAAACCATTAAAATATATACATAATATATCACGTATGGACTATTTAAGGATCGTTATGGGACTCTTAACTATAATTTACTGTCTCCTAGTTCCCAAGCGCATTTGGCAAATTTAATTTCAAAGGGTATCTCTAATAGCCTTATTATTAATAACAAGCAGCAAAATCGGGACCATTTAAATTATCGAAACTCTCCACTTAGATCGGTTTAATAGCGACCGTCGAAGTAATCAGCTATGGAGGCATCGAACGGTTCCCACTAAAGTTATCACGGTGTTAATACAACTTGAAACATTACTTACACAAAGGGAGGTTTACGACGGTCGAGACAATAAAACTAGTGTAAACGGCAAGTAAGCTATCTCTGTCTTATTCTCACCATCTTCATCTATTTGCTAAATTGTATTTCAAATAGATTACATACTTCGGTTATTTTAATTCTTGACAAATATTGTAAATAAATAAGTATGGTTCTCGAGTGGCAGCCTCGTACCGGTAAGTGAAGGGTAAGGCGGTCATTCTTTCTTCACATTGATTTGCTATTAAATAACAATTGAAGTATGCCTAGTGATAAGTGGCAAGTTTTATATCTAATTTGATTTTATACACTGCGAGATAGCACTAAGTCACCTGGTATTGTCCACATATGAATTCCAAACGTACGCGAAGTTTCCTGACACGCTAATGTATTTAATTTACAAGCGAAGTGCTAGAAGTTTCTTGGCGTCCGTCAAAGTGCGTACGTGCTTCATGGTTTGACGATCGCAAATAATAGTTTGAATGGCGTCGGGCACTAACGGGCATAATGAGAAAACTTGGCCGGCTGCTGAGAAGTCTGCCGCTTCGATGGTCGTAGGGTGTAGGCGAGAGGCGAGCGGAGCGGCTCATGTTGATCTAACTGCAGTTTTAAACTCCTTAACTTTTAATTTCATTAAATAAGTTTACGGCTCATGCTAATGATTTTGCCTATAATAATTTATATGCAAATTGAAAATATAAAGTTGAAATAAAATTAAAGTGTGTACTAATTAAAAATTTTAAACCGGCTTACAATTCAACTAATAAAATATTAAATTAACTTCAGATTTTACTACTTGGCCAACAAGGGTTTTGCACAAATTCTACTTAAAGACCATTTGACAAGAAACCTTGAAATTTCTCTAAAGCTTTTTATAACATAATTAATATAATACTATAATATTTTTATCCGACGCTAACTGTGAATATGGCGGTCTTAAAACGATATACAACTCAAAATAAATGAAGAAAACATCTACTCAAATCAATTAATTAAACAAGCATTGCTAACTTTATATCCGTGAAGACTATTGAAAGGTCTATTTTAATAAAGGTTTAAATTTTAATGAAATATACGATGATAAAGTGTTCGCACCCTAATCCAAGGTGGCCAACAAATTTTAATATTACGGGGAAGCACACCTGCCAATAGTTACGCGCCGTTGCTATTATTGATTTTGCAATCAATGCCAGATTAGAGAGCTCTCCGCTTACCGCTATTATTGCAGGCAGATTTATTAATTTCTAAAGTAAGATCCGTTTTAGTCAACTTTAGTTTGATAACTAAAGTTTAGCTACACCAAAATAAAGATAAGAAAAGCAGTTGAAGTTGAAGTTTAAAACTCTGTTTTTATTAAAAATGTCTCCTTAAATTTAAAAAAGTTAAACTCACAGCCTATATTCGACCCACAGCTGGACACAGGCTATCTCATTTCTGAGAGGGTGTTGGAGAA